TTTATCTCTGGACTAAGTTTTGTTGACCCATACAACAGACAACTGATTGTTTTATGATTATGTTGAAGGTTGTCGATTGTCCGCTTTCTTGCATCTGAATATAAGTGGCATACGAGTAAATAGTGTTCGGTATCTTCCAATTTGTGACCACAGAGACAAGCAGGGCTATCATCGACGTGTCTGAGGAATTTATGGCCTTGTAGGTTCGAGCAGCATAATCTTAGTTCACAGTGAATTATTTGTAATTTTCGTATCCCTGTATAGTAATATGATGGCACGTTGGTATCTAATTTATTTAGTGAATTTCCAAAGATAGCAAGGGATCGAGAGTTTCTAATTTCAACGTTAAGTTTGTTCCATTCTCGTATACTGGAAGGGATGAAGGACGCGGAGAAAATTTCGGTTCTGCATCTGGTTTCCTTTAGTTTATCTTTGTTGATCATAGTTAAATCCAAAAGTAGTATTTAGCAATATCTCTCGAATAAATATGTAGAGACAAATCCCTTAATTTGTGTATGGTTAGCATTTAGAATGTTTCACTTCGCTAACTTAAACTATCTAACATTTAAGAATTGGGCATACGTTGCATTCCCCACCCCACCCCCACCCCTCCCAAACCCCCTGCGACCCCCCTCCCCCGCAAACCCCCTACGATTTGTTTTAAAAATAATTATTAACTTTATACAGGACATACTGATTATCCTGATTTGGCTGTGGACTCCCGTATGCACCCTGGTAGAGGTTGGGTGAGGCTGGAAGTTTATATGAAAACACCGGATATATGTAAGTATATAATGATATTTACGTCATGGGTGTATGGAAGTATACGTTTTGATATATAGGTCAAGTTCATAACCATAAAATTGTTAATAAGATCATGATTTGTCAGATACGGATATCCGGTGTAACAGGTAATTTGACTCCTACACAAATGCTATTACACGACTTGTAAGGTAAACACGGTGACAATTGATTGTGTGTGATCTTGTTATTTTTTTATGGTATAATGTCATTATGCCTAGGTGCGTATAACGCTTGTACACTACCCACGAGGCCGGGTTCGATTTTCCCTTTGTCACGGGTGCATGACTGAGATGGAAAATCGGGGTCCCGTGTATACTATTGGCAGTACATTAACGGTTTCCCGACAGTTGGGCGTCAAATAGACCGTAGTCGCCGACTGGGCAAAATTGCCCTCATTGAATGATTTCATTTTTCTCGCAGGTTGATATTTTTAACCATAAATTACTTCATGAATGAATAACTTGAATGAGCAGTAGGTGAGCCCTGCTAAAATTCAATAGCTTATTTTCAGCTTACATCCGATCTCGAGTAATAATACAAGGACCAGACCCAGGTATAGACTTCCTGGTTGATGCTGCCTACATATATTACATACCAGAAGACACCAACTGGAAAGCAGAAGCGAATAAGCGCATTGACCAATACAGAAAACACAACATACATTTTAGGTACTATGAGTCAATATAAATAGAATTAATAAGATGGGGGTGAGGGTCAACGTTCTATTATGAACAATTTCAATAAAATAAACTGCGCATTATCATCCAAAAGTACAACAAACACCTCGGGTAGTATTGGTTGGAAAAACATTCAGGTCATGAGATGACGAACCCTGTCGATATTCAGCGTTCTGTGACCCCCGTAGCAGGGTTATTTATGTCGAATTTTACCTAAACATTGTTGAGGTTATAGCTTTAAACCGGTGTTTTCCAGATGTGGTGTGAAGCACTGTGATGGGACGAGCTCTGCGACCTTTTGTTCCAGAGATATACCATTTTCCGTAAACCCTGTGAACACGAGAAGAGCTACAGTTTTCAAAATGATTTTTTTTTCAAGCGTGTTAAAGCAATAGAGATCAGAATACTTTGCGTGGCTATCTTTTTACAATTGTTTAAATGTATCCAATTCTTGTTTCCAGTGTAAACATTCCATCAAATACCAATCCTCATGATTTTGAAGTTGAGGTAACCCATTTTATTTTCTATTTTCTTTATAGTTAAAGCTGTCACTGTAATATAAAAGTATACCAACATTTCGACAGTTTTAATTTTTTGGTTTTAATATTAGATGTTAAGAACTGATATTTCGGATAATTTGCTTCGGGTATAATGTAGGGCCTCGGTTTGAATGCTCGGCATTAAACACAATCCGACACGACGATTACTTCAGTGTCTAAGCTTCTTGCGAGATATCACAGATACAATATTTCAACATCGTCTGTAGTCTCTTTCCAGATTACGTGACTAATCCGAAATGCTTAAATGAGGTCAAATCCTTTCGGCATAAACGCAGACGTTGATCCGAACCTGTTTGGACCAGTTTGGCAATGTAATGTAAATAAAGTCCTTGTGATCAGCTGAAAAAACGGAATTACTGTCTAGTTTTAATTGACTTGGTTATTGCTATGAATTCATTTTCTTTTGGTAATGTGACGTCGCCAATCGACAATCCTGGATAAATTTCGGTATTCCGACGTCTTTGAATTTCTACGAAGATATCATGATGGCGGTTACTCCAGATTGAAAATGAGAAGATAAGCCTACTTGCAGGCAAATCACTAAACAATCTATGATTGTGGATCAGTTCGATATAAATATCGTTTATTGTCTTTTACTAATTTATGGCTTGTTGTAAAACGAAGGGTGTTTTGGTCGCATTTTTACCTATAAACTAATTCGGTTTCCTCATCCGACTCACGTATGCATAAAGAGGCATGAATTTTATGCCTTTCTGAAAACTGTATAAAATTATGTATTATGCTACTTCTGGAAGTTCAGGTGGCAAGCCAGTGTTATATATAATGTATATCGTATATTGATAATTTGTATATTGATAGGCTCAACTTGTGAAACACGGCTTCCCATTTGGCTCTATGAATAAAAGCGATCACGTTTTAGATGCTAAATACAGTCAATATAGAAATTTGTACTATAAAATGTTTAACTGGGCAACATTAGCTAATTACTACTGGAGATGGTCGAAAGGCCCGTGGGTAAGTTTTTGAAATTAATAATCAGTATATAGATACTACCATACAGATATTTAAATCAAAATGGACATCTACGTTAACTTGGTTATAGTGGGACTACACACACACACCCACACCCACACCCACACGCACACACACACCATCACACACAAACACACACCCACACGCACCGCATAAACAAAATTGAAAATGGATTCCAAAAATTTTTGAATCCTAGTTTTGAGCACGTCTGATTATGTCATTTGTCTGTTGTTCTTTTCAGAATCACCCTGATTATTCTCATGATAAACAAGCAATACAGCAATTAAAACAACACGGGTATGTAATTTTTTCATAATTATATAGAAATTGTTTGAATGTCCAACTAAACCATAAAATCTGTTTTAACACTTATTATTATTAATATTGTTGAATTTTATCCGTAATGTGTATAAAATGTTGGTAATGGTATACAAAAGGTTAAAAAGGGGTCACCCAAAATTTATTTCTGATCGATATTGGAAAAGTACAAGCTTTCAAAAACAAAGTTCTCAAATAATGGTACATTTAGGGTAATGAACTAAATGATGAACGTTATCAAATCTCAATGTTCAGAATCCCAGTTAGAGCTCATAACATATTTTGGGGAACTACAAGAGAATTGCCAGATGAAGTAGCCAAGCTATCGTATGATTCGCTGAAGAGAGCTGTAGATGATAGAATACGCTATGTGGTTAGTGCAACAAAGGGGTTGTAAGTACTTTATTTATACAAAAAATACTAAGGCCAATTATATATAAAAATAAACTTTACATCACACCCATGGCTAATACAGGTAGAAACAATTAAATAAATTCAAATATACACTAACTCTATTTATGGAATAAGAATTACTGTTTTGTTAACATGCAACGTTTCGACGATGATACTCTCGTCTTTATCAAGCAAATGATAACATACTTCAAGTATTTATATACAGTAAAAAGAAGCCATAAATATAGACATTATATATAACGATATAACAAACACGAAGCCCCGAAAAACCGAGGCCCCGTGTACACATCGGTGTGCACGTAAAAGATCCCTTGGCAGTTGGTATTCTGTATAAGAGTAGGCCGTAGCGCCGCTATCTGGGCAGAGTTTCCCTCTCAGCCCGGTTTCATTAGCCCAATCGGAGAAGAACAGTAGGACATTAAACCCCATTTCATTTCTTTTTATTTCATTTCATAGTAACAGTATGACTAATACATGCGCTGAGAGACAGGTTAGTTAGCTCATTTGTTGACGCTCTATAATAATTAGCATGTTTAAGTTATTGTGGGATACTTAGGCAATATTAGCCCATGACTTTATTTGTTCTGAAAATAGTTATATAGATAAATGAGGGTCGTAACGATTATCCAGTTATGCCCAAGTGCGCATATCTTACCGATGTTAACCTGCAAGGGGATCACGGTGGCTAAGTGGGTAAGACGCTGGCTCGCTAGCCTGGAGGTCGGGTGTTCGATCCTTGCATTGGCCGAGAAAGTTCATCCAGATTTTCCGGCGTGGGTCCCCCTTGTCAGTGATGCAGGACGGAAGGCCTGACAAGGAGAGCTGTCTAGTCGTTCGGACGAGACGAAAAACCCAGGTCCCGTGTACACATTGGCGTGCACGTAAAAGATCCCTTGACAGTTAAGATTCGATATAAGAGTAGGCCGTAGTGCCGCTGTCCGGGCAAAATTTCCCTCCTAGCACACTGTATGGTGTATGCCCCTCTTCATTAGCCCAGTTCGGAGCAGAACAGTAGGACGTTAAACCCTATTTCATTTCATTTCATTTCATTTCATTTAGTTAACCTGCAAATAAACTCCCATACTAGTAGGTGTTGATCGCCAAGTACAATGTATTACAGATATCTGAATAATCTTCATAATCTTTTAGGGTTGATCATTGGGATGTTAATAACGAGATGCTGCATGAACATCTGTTTGAAGAGAAAACCGGTGATCCTTATTACAGTCATCATATGGTAAATATGCTTCGGTAAGTTGATAAGTATTATGATGATCGGGGAATCGTTTGGTTAGGACAGTGGTTCTCAACCTTTTTTTGCCAACCGCACACCTTGGAACACATGAAAATATAGCGGCACACCTGGCTAAATATATGTGAAAAATATTTGAATTTTACAAAATAAAAACATAGCCATGCACATAGAATGACTCAAACTAAATAAAGAAAGCCACAGCTTGAACTTACCTGTAGACACTAGTGAATACCGAATTGGGATCTTGTGGTTTTTCACATTTTCTTAGTTTGCCGTTTAAAATTTCGCGGCACACTTAGGAAGATCTCGCGGCACACCTGTGTTCCACGGCACACTGGTTGAGAATCAATGGGTTAGGACAATGTTCACCCAAATGATAATTGATCGAGATGAATCTTCAAGATATTTAAGTCCATAGTTATAACACCAGCTGAGCGAACAACGAGCAGATCTATTCGAGAAATTGATATTATATACGTAACCATTTCCTTGGGCCTTCAAAGTTTATACGTATATGGTGATCGGAGAATGGTTTGGTTCGGACAATGCCGATATAGATAATAATTGATAGAGAAGAATCTTCCGGATTTTCAATTAGCCAAGCGGACAATTAGCGTGATTTGTTTGAAAAATGTCCTTGGCCCCCAAAATTTCGAAATTAAGTTAGCGGAGAATTCATAACTGTAACTATAGCATTGGGGTAAACTTAATTTGATATTTTTTTCTAAATATCGATGCCTCCTTGATGAAATAAAAATTTAAACCAATTCCAATATATTATAGTTCAATAACCTCATTTAAAATGTCCCAAAATGGTCAATTGTCGAATAAAAGGTGTTGATTATCATGTTCATATTTTTTTTAAAAAAGTCGAAAATATCAATTAAATTGTGGAAGTCATATCAAAAAAGATAATTTTCTGCAGGCTTATGTAAACCAAGCGTATGAATATAAAAGTGCTAATGTTGGTCTCTATGGGTTGGGTATACAGTGTCATTTTAAAGAATACATAGCACCAGATCCAACACTTGTTAAGGTAAGGGATTTTTTTTGACAGCTAAAGCACTGGGGTGGTTACACATGTTGGGTGCCTTTTTATACACCCACATTTCAGTGAGAGGACGAACCCTTCGATATTCAATGTGCCTCATTTTCCGAAAACCTTGAGAACGAGACATAGGCTACAGTTCTCGACGGATAATTTCAAATTTGGTATGAAGCATTGTGGCCATGAGAGGTTTTTCCCGGGTTATCCGCCCTTTTTAATTGATTTGTTTCATTGGGGTCATGAGAGGATGTACCCTTGGTGGAAAGCATCGGGTTTATGCGTGGATGAACCCTATTGATTTTCAGCGTTCAGCGACTTTTTCACGAGAGGACAAACTCTATCGATGTTCAGTGTTCCGAGACTATCCGTATTGGGGTTACCCCCCCCCCCCCTTTTCCAAAAACCTTACCAATACTATAGAGGTTACAGTTTAAAACAGATTTCCTTCAAATTTCCTGGGAAGCATTGGGGTCATGAACGTATGAGCCCAACAATATTCAGTGTTCTGTGACTTACCCCACCCCCACCCCACCCACCACCAGTTTGCCTCGTAGACGCAATAAAAACAATAGTTACGGATTTCGTTCAATTTGGTAGGAGCATTGGGTCATGAGTGGGTGAACCCATCGATATGGCGTTCTGCCACTTCCCGTTCCGGAGTCATCAAATTTGATCATCATTCCAGCTTTTCTTTCGGATAAGCTGCAGTTGAACACTAAACTTGGTATTTTCAGGACTAAATATATATTACATTTTATTGTCATTAATTCGCTTGCGTACAATGATCTTTAGAAGTGGGATGGAACCAGGTTAGACAGGCGATCCTAGTTCCTGTCTCAAACGGGCTACAAGAAAGTGATCGAAACCGTCTTTTAACAGAACCATTCAATAGCTTTTAGAAAAACACATACACAGAACACAATTTTTATTATTATTATTATTATTATTACAAAATTTTTATAGCGCCCCTTTCACAGATGTGTTCAAGGGCACTTTACAGTATAACAAAAACATACATTCAAAAAGTAAATAATTTCAAAAATGTTAAAAATACATTAAATAAGCAATTATTTTTTAAAAAATACATTCAAGATCTACATTAGACAAAATAATAGGTGTTAAAATTTGTTTTTAGCCTTTAAAAATAAGAAAGTTTTAGTCTGGTTTTTAAAATTAACTAGTGATGATGAAATTCAAATATTAAAAGGTAATTGATTCCATACAATAGGCGCTTGATAACTAAAAGAACGTGCCCCGTAACTAGAAAGGTTTACAATTTTTTGCTTTAAAAGTAATTTATCAGATTAACGCAGGGTTCTGTCTTGGGTATATAATTCTAAAAGTTCAGATAAATACTTTGGTACTAAATTATGAAGGCATTTGAAAATCTTAAAATCTATTCTATATTTTATGGGGAACAATCCCGGTTTTAATATTATTATAAGCACGTCTCTTATAGTTATCAAACACGATGCCAATATGTGCCATTTAGAAAGACTTATGTTTACTATTTAAAATCAGACGCGGTCAGTGGCCAGCGTTATGTGTGACCTATTACACGGGTTTGTTTTCATGAACACGGGTATAGGCCACTCATTCAACTTGATACCAAATCAGATTTTGTTTTTGTTTTCCACAGCATCGATTAGATCAACTAGCTGCTACCAAGCTACCCATTTGGGTCACAGAGTTAGATGTTGTTGTAGCTGATGAGAATACACGGGCCCAGTGGTATGACACAGCTCTGCGGATTTTGTTTAGTAGTCCTTCTGTACAGGGTATTATCCTGTGGGATTTCTACGGACCGGAACACTGGCGTGGTGTAAATGCTGGATTGGTTAACGCCAACTATCATGTCAGTAGGCCTATATTATGTATCTCTCGTTCCTTTAGAATCCCGAACACTAACATAAGATCTAGCTGGGGAGAAAGGATGTGTTTAACAAGTTGTGTAAAACTATTCCATGACACAATACATCATTGTCTTATCTTATTAGATATATTTCCTCAGTTTGCGATCCTAAATACACAGTCTAATTATCCATTGGAAAATATCCAAAATATATCAGTTATCAAAAGTATTACATCTTTCGAGATACTTCCAAGGAAAGTAAATTTGTTTTAACAATCTGCGAATTTTAGAACATCGCCGCCATTACGATAGACATTACTTGCAAGACGCTGAATGTTGTAATTGGAGTTTAGCTTTAATATATCACCGACTTATGCTGAAACCTAGGTACACCTGGGGCCTGTTCACGAAATTTTAACTAAAGATAAAATCAAAATTTGTAGATACTTCAATTTTGATTGGCTAAGCACTAAGATCAAACTAATATTATCCAATCAAATTACTAAAATTTGGATTTTATCTTAGTTAAAATTTGGTGAAACAGGCCCCTGTGCATATCGTAAAACTCATAAAACCGGTCGGTTATTCTTAGAGCAAAGAAGACATTTTTGACTGACTTTGAATGGAAGTTAAGAAGCGGGTGATACCAAGTCAAGTCGAGTCACACAAAGTAGCACGATGGACGTTTAGGGATCTTCTATTCCCAGCTAAAGAGTCAAATTCACTTTTACTAAATTGTATAAATATAGGTAATTTAAAACCAGCGGCTGCCAGGCAGGATGCGCCCACATTTTGCAAGAGATGGATAGAAAACAAGCTAAACAAAAAGCGACTTTTCGTACAATCAAGGGCCATAATTCAGGAAGTTATGATCCGATATGTGCGAATATCGAAAGGAACCAAGATCTTTGGGTTATAAATATGTATTTCAAGTTTCATCAAAATCGGATAGAATTGTGGCCTCTTGATATACCATATTTACACCATTTGCGTACGAGGGGCGGCCATTTTGTCTGGCATTTTTGTCCGGAGACAAGATCTTTGGGTTATAAACATGTATTTCAATTTTCATCAAAATCGGAAAAAAATTATGACCCGATATGCGCAACTTTTGAAAGGAGACAAGATCTTTGGATTATTAACATGTATTTCAAGTTTCATCAAAATCGGAAAAACATTATGACCTCTAGAGGGTCCACAACCTTGATATCCCATATTTTTACAACAATCGCGTACGAGCGGCGGCCGTTTTATCCGGTAGTTTTGTCCGGAGACAAGATCTTTGGGTTATAAACATGTATTTCAATTTTCATCATAATCGGAAAAAAATTATGACCTCTAGAGGGTCCACAACCTTGATATCCCATATTTTTACAACAATCGCGTACGAGGGGCGGCAATTTTGTCCGGCAGTTTTGGTCCGATTTTCACGAAATTCGAACTCAAGCATCATTATCCTTTTTTCAATAGGATAATAACTGTGACCTCTAGAGAAACCACAAGCTAAAAACGCGATTTTTCGTACAATCATGGGCCATAATTCAGGAAGTTACGATCCGATATACGCAAATATCGACAGGAACCAAGATCTTTAGATTATAGACATGTATTTCAAGTTTCATCAAAATCAGATGAAAATTGTGACCTCAAGAGTGTCCACAAGCTAAAAACGTGTTCCGTGATCCGATATATGCCAATATCGAAAGGAATCGGGATCTTTGGGGGATGGACCTACATTTTAAGTTTCGTCAAAATAGAATAAAAATTGTGACCTGTAGAGTGTCCACAAACATATTGTGGACGGACGAACAGGTGGACGGACGAACAGGGGCGACGACAATATACGTCCACATGAAAATGTGGGTGTATAATGAGAAGTCAAGCGTTAACGGGAAATTAAAATCATTTGTTATGAATCTTGTTTTCTAAGATCTGTTGCATTTTATCAGTGGCATTCTGGTAAACTTTTTTTTTCTATTACCAGGTAAATGCGGCTGGGAACCATTACATTGATCTTATCAACAAAGAATGGAGTACACACGTCGTTCACAATCTTGGCAGTGGTAAAACATTTAGTGTACGTGGTTTCCATGGTCAATACCGTGTTGTAGTTAAGTATAAAGGAAGAACGATAAAAACACAGAATTTCTATCTATCAGCATCCGATCATACAGAAAAAATAACTGTAACGGATGTTCATGGTAAGTCTACCGTCCACAGAGAATTTATATTATTCAGCTAAGTACCATGATCCGGACATATCCAATAATATCTTATTGGGTAATTTAGATGACCAGACGGTAAGAAATCAGCCCTAGTTTTAAGCCCGTCGTACACGAGCAAAGAAAATTTGACAAATTTCTTTGACGGTCTCTTCAAATTTTCTGACCGTGTACGAAACCAGCAAATAAATTTGACGACCTAAGCGCCATTTCACATGGTTGGTCGGAACTGTGAAGGAACCGCATTCATAGAACAAAAAGAAAGCCAACTTGTGTACAAAAAATTCAGAATAGTGATTTCCCAGCGTGATTACGATGCCTTTGACGCGTAGAAAAGCGGCCATGGGTTGTGGAATAGGTGTCCTGTTGTTGATGCGGTTTTTCTTGTTTCGGTCCTTATATTCCTTACTTGAAGTGTTCCATAAGCACTCGCAACTTCGCGGTCCATCTAGCAGGATTTCAACCGTTCGATCAGTCCAATTAATAGGCATATTTGCAATTTAATCAACGAGACGATAATCGAAAGTTCAACTACTTTTTCTTTGCACTTATCCGCCCCTGCTGTCGAAAAATGAAAGTGAAATCATCAGATGCGTGCGCAGATTTGTGGCAAATTTATTTGACGGCCTATCGTACACGAGCATAAGTTCCAAATCTTTGACACATTTATTTGACGAAAAGCTAGCATGCCAGCTTTTGTCAAATCTCATATGGCAAATGGAAATGTGGCAAATTTCCTGTCGTACACGAGCAAATTTCTTTGACAAATCGGGCTTTACTTTTGTCAGCAGGTTAGTTTTCGCTAACAGGTTATCAAAGCCAACCAGGTGAACTGACTGGCAAGAAATGTAAATTGTATAATAGATGCCACCAGTGGCGGCGCCATGGGGGGGGGGCATTTGCTGTCTTTTTTCCAAAATTTTCTGGGGGAGGACTCCCTACTTTGACGCTCTTGAGTGGGCTTCGTCGTCACGTCGTGATTCGCAAGTCCGTTCGTTTGACACTTTACCTCATCGATCAGTGCCTGAAATACTGCCAGGCTGCATTTCAAAATGTTCTGGGGGAGGCCTCCTACCCCTAGTTAAAGCTCGTACCTTTGCCCCCTTAACCTTGGACTTTGCCCCTCCAATCACCGACGGCTGGCGCCGCCACTGGATGCCACAAGTATAGATTACATTTGATGAATCTAGGGCAGTCAAAATCAAGTGGGATTGATTTCCCCCTGACTGTTATTGTCTTTCTCTTTCACAGAGACGTTTATATTTACAAATAGGAATTCTTCCTCTGATTATTGTTTGTCACTATAATTGCAGGACGTTGAGCAGCTCCTATTGAATCCTGACCTGATAATGTATAAAGCTACCTTTGATACATGCAATTGTAACAGATCTAAACGATTAAATAAACGAATATTTAGTGTAAAATGTTTTATATCTAATGATACCATGTACAAGTATTTTACAATAAACCCAGAAGACCTACAACATGCCGACAATGGTAAATGATTCAATATACATGCATATTTTATTTGTAGTATTTACATAGCACTTTATTAATATTACAACAAATATTAAAGCAGTCTACACTAAATATGACAGTTTGCTTGATTATTAAATTACACAATTCACATTTCAACAGATAATTTTTTTTTTATACCTATTAAAATGAAGGTATAAAATGGCACTAAAGCTTGATATTGATAAACATGAAATGTTAGACCATTCCCTGAATAATAAACAGACATTATATTATATTATTTAATACATGTACACATTACTGGTAATCTGGAAATAATGTCAAACTAGTATATGAATAACTAAAATGTGGCTTTCATTTATGTTATCCATAGCCATCAATCAATTCAATATAAAATATTATTATTAAAGATACGTTATGGGAGATAAGATAAAGAGATGGCAGTTCTCACTATAATAGTTAAAAACTAGATAATGTAAAGGTAATTTGCTGAAATTTTCAGTAAAATTGATCCACCATGAACCGAGAATTAGGCAATTGAAATTTCGGCCTAGCATCGATCATCATTACTAAAGTCTGTACATAGAAAACATTGTCTTGATCATCCAATTCATGATTAAATTATGAATGGAAGTCGAGTAGCAAATGGGATCATAATCCAGTAAATATCACAGGCTAGCGATGCCATCGAAAGTTGATTATGATCTGGATAAGTTAATTAATGTCTAATTAATAATTTAGATAACATTTCAGGCCTAAAGAAAGACCTGCAATTGGCAGATTTAGCTATTAGCACAATGTATGTTTAAGGACCTTTCATTTATAGGCCTGATTTGAGGAATATTGATAAATAAATACACATGCATTTAATTGAACATGCATTATTAATATAGATCAGCATAAGCAGGTTGATAACCTTCTGCTCTAGTCATGAACCAGTGGCTGCCAGGCAGGATACGCCCACATTTTGCAGGAGATGGATAGAGAACAAGCTATAAACAAAAACGATTTTTTGTACAATCAGGGACCATAATCCAGAAAGTTATGGTTTGAAATGCGCAAATATCAAAAGGGACTGAGATTTTTGGAATATAAAGATATGTTTAAAGTTTCATCAAAATTGGATAAAAACAAAGAGCGGCCATTTTATCCCCCAGTTCATTTTGATTTTCCCGAAATTCCAATTCAACCTTCATTATGGTGGAATGGTGATAATATATCTAAACATTTTTTTAAAATCGGAAAAAAAATGTGACCTCTAGAGAATCCAGTGTGATTGTCAACAGGAACCAAGATCTTTATGATACAATCTTATATTTAAAGTTTCATCCAAATCGGATAAAAACCTTGATATACCACATTTTTACACTATTTGCAAACAATTTTTGTCCGATTTTCTCGAAGTTCGAACTCAACCATCATTAGTGTATAACTGTGATATATTCACACGTTTGTTTTTAAATCGGATAAAAATTGTGACCTCTATAGGGACCACAAGCTCAAAACGCAATTTTTCATACAATCAAGGGCCATAATTCAGGAAGTTAGGATCCGATATGCGCGAATGTCGAAAGGAACCAAGATCTTTGGGATATAAACATGCATTCCAAGTTTCATCAAAATAGATGAAAATTGTGACCTCTAGAAGGTCCACAACCTTGATATACCATATTTTACACTATTTGCGTACAAGAAGCTACCATTTTGTCTGGCAGTTTTGGTCCAATTTTCACGAAATTCCAACTCAACCATCATTAGAGGGACCACAAGCTAAAAACGCGATTTTTCGTACAATCAGGGTCCATAATTCAGGAAGTTATGATTCGATATGCGCGAATATCGAAATGGGACAAGATATTTGGGTTATAAACATGCATTTTCAAGTTTCAACAAAATCAGATCAAAATTGTGACCTCTATAGTGTCCACAAGCTAAAAACGTGATTTTTCGTACAATCAGGGGCCATAATCCACGAAGTTACGGTTCGATACATGCCAATATCGAAAGGAACCGAGATCTTTGGGTGATAAGACCTATATTTCAAGTTTCCTCAAAATCGGATAAAAATTGTGACCTGTAGAGTGTCCATAAACAAATTGTGGTCAGACGGACGGACAGGGGCAACGACAATATACATCCACATGAAAATGTGGGCGTATAAAAAAACAATCTAGGTTTGTTCCTAAGCATGGGGAAATGGGACACCGACAAAGATATGAAATCTGTGATTACATAAACATGCAGAGAGGAAGCAGCTGTTTATTTATCAGTTATCTGTTGCTGTTAGTTTTAAGCAGATTAGATTAGACCACCTGTGGCATTACTATCTACAGTATGATATTGAATACAGTAACCCTACTTCATCAGGTTACACATTTCTACTTCATGTTTAATTCAAATACCTATTTATTTCTATCATAAACAGGTAGTTAAACCACCCTCAAATAGTGTAAGTGTATTTAGTTTGAAGTGAAAATTGACAGGTTTAATTTAATTTGCTTGACTTCTTAGCTAGCTGTAAAAGCATTACTGAAGTATGGTATTAACAATCAATTTTTTAAATAAACCAAAGCTTACTTATTTATACTGTTTTTGTTTCTAATTTTTATAAAGTATAATCCAAATCAATCATTTTAGATATATCAGCTATATGATTTATAAATAGATACATATAGAGCTATTACAACATTGGTTTATTATAATATATCTTCCTTTAAAATACAGAGACATGAGCAGACAATATATATCTACATGTATAAAGAGACAATATAAATGATACTAACACATTATACAATACATCTATGAATAATATACTCTAACTTAATCTTGCCCTCAAAAATGGTCATCTATATTAATTTTTGTAACCCATGTTTATTTAAACCTATGCTTAAAGTAAGGTTTACTAACTAGGATACATATGGCAAGTCAAAATTTGGATTATTTCCCTTGTTTTGAAATCATTGTTAAGACCTGTTGTATTCAAGATAAACCTTGGTCACCAAAATCTCACATATCAGACCATAATTTATATTATTTTCATGGAATGTATAACTACTAATAACTATATTTATAACATTTATACTTCTGACTATGCAATTACAGTTTTTCAAAAGCTGGTCGATTTAATTAACTGTTTTGCCAAAGAGGTTTTTTACTTTTCTTAGATTAGCCAGAAATTATTTGCAAAAAATGTGATCAATTAAAGCTTTATCACAACTGATGGATCAATATTAAAGTGCATTTAGAGAAAACTATAAATTTGAAGGCTATGCCCCAATTTTACGACACAAATATATTCTCCAGTCAGTCAATTTCCCTGCCAGGCAGTTGAACGGCAAATATAACAGAATAGGAGCCCTGTTTATAACAATACAGACAATTTGATTCACCAATCAGCTTCAAGGAAAATCAATGATTTGTTGAAACCTAAGCTCATCTTCATGCTAATAAACATCTGATATCAGTGTTAATAACAGCATATGACATATCCTAAAAAGCAGGTTTTTTCCCCAATTGATAAAAGGACAAATAACACATATCTGAAAACGTTAACACACCAGGAGAGGGGCTATACCTGTTTTCTAATTCCTATTCAGAAAACATTATTTAACCTGAATAAAAAATATATTGTTTATAAAAAAAAAAAAAATTAAGAAATACATTAAACAATATTAAAACCTCAGCAAGATTTCACACCTAATTTTGGTGTGTTATTTTACACTGATATCCTACAAAATAAATAAATCTAAACATAGCTCAATCTAATCAATAAAATTAAATAATGAGTCATATACATGTACATTAAAGCACAACTTCTACTTGTGGGCCTAATACATTGTTTTTGCATAGTACATAATATGGTCTTTGGCTCGGTGGGTAAAAAAAAAATATCAGTGTTGAGAGTATCCAACATATTACAAAAATTCATAACGATAATAATTATGGGGTCATTATGGGGTCGGGGAAGGATAAATTCTTTACTCCCAGATTAAGGATGCTTTTAATGGAATAAATAATGTGAAAAGGGTTTTCGATGCATAATGATAGATATAAAGTAAAATAAATTCAGATATGGCATCATATTAATATACAAAAAAAATTAAAATAAATGTCAAGTTATTCTCCTATTTAAATATTAAAGTAACAAATACAATTTAGTCTGGCATTTTACATTTACATGTAATTAAACCCAAGTTTGCCAAAATTAAAAATCTAAATTTAGTCTTCCTTCGTTAATGTCTTCCTGAACCTTGAAATTAATATACAGGTGAAAATACAACAATGTATTAAAAGACACAATCAACTATTGTCTGTGATATCACCTCGGTGGAGGGGGACGTAAAATACAACTAACTCACACACACAATCAACTAAGGTTAACAAAGACAAAACATTTGATGATTGTGGCTAGCTTATATATAATACAATGAAATATATACAAAAACATAAATTTTAAAAGAAAAATATATACAATTTCTATGAAAAAATGCTTTGATTTTAAATTAGTATATAAGGCCTGATCACTTACATTCTATCAAAGAATTTAATGACCAACATACAATATTTTTGTGACCTGATAATACCAAAGTAAAATAAAATAAGAAGACTCAGTCATTAACACCTTGCAATCTTGGTCATGTTTTGGAAGGTACAGAGATAGATAAAACTGTGTGTTTTTGGTAATCAACAACCAGATACATATAGTCGTACATGTTAAGATGTGTAACAAATAAAATCAGGCATTCCTATTAAGCTACATGGTTATAGTAAACACAAACTGAGTTCAATTACAAACTACCACCACTGTCTTCTTTTAGTATCGAAGTCTCAAAAGACTGAAAAGTTATATGCTCAGTTCTAAATGTATGAATGAAAACAGATTTTTTGAAAGTTTCATAAAAATATCTTGAACAGTTTCTGAGAATTTTCAAATTAGCGAACAGTGCAACTTTTTTAAAAGGTTGATGTGTGTACAAAGTACCATAATGATATAGAACACTTTCTGTAATATACTCAAGAATAATAATTGTATACCAAAAACTAAGCCAATTTTGTTTACATGGAAATATAAACAATATTAAATCTGCAAAATTGCGAATTTGCAAAAGGCATAACTGCTAAATAGGTTGATGTGTGTACAAAGTATCATAATGATATAGAACGCTTTCTGTAATAGTCCATTTAAATATCTGTCTATAACTTCATTCAGCTCGGGATAATAAAGCCATAGCAAATATTTCTGCAAAGACAGCTAAACTACCCTTTCAAATAATAAAGTATTTATCATGTTTTGTAAAGAAGTAAGTACAGAATGTGGAAAGACTATAATTTCATTGTCTTTCTTACAAACCAATACCAGTCAACAGGGGAACATCAATGAACTAATGAAACTAAGAAAAACATTATAAGCAAGAAAAGAATGAGCAACATCGAGCAGTTTACAGAAGAGATATCCAGCCAAATAGCAGGCAACCCTTGAATACATTATCATAAAGTTAGTGTCTCTAAGTCTCATTATGACAGTGTAAAATCAATAGAAACTAATGTTAACTTTCTAATAGAATTGATGGATTTTAAAAGTCATTTGACTGAACTGTTTTTACTAAAAATACTTTTGATTGAGTAGGCTTTGTTCTCATATATCCTGTTGTTAATAAAATATCACCTCACAGAATGTAAATCCTCAAAAATAAATTTTGTTTATAGTACAACATGTATTAGCAGTTATAATAGAATAAATACCGATAGGTAATTAGATACATGTAAGCAACATGAAACTATTTACATTAAAAGAAACATAAACAAAACAACCAGATACATAACTTGTATAATGCATGATACAATCAGCATGTAGTTTGATATAATGTTTCCAGCACATTTAGCTTAGCATATTTAGCTTAAAATATATTTTTAATGAATACATAATACATATCTGTTGTTATCACCTAAATCTGAATAATCAAAAAGCGCCTTTGATTAAGAAAGGAATCCTATCCAATCGAAAGAGAACATTGATACTCCTTTCATATGTGAAAAGAAATTAGAATACAAATTTCTTTATAATATACTATTTGACCAGACAAACAGAAGGTAATATTAATACTTCCATGGTAAGCTATCAACTAATTAAGCTGACTTTGTTTGATAATAATTAAAATCTGTTTTACATAATATTTTACTCTTATGAAATCAACTAAATCTGCTCCAATGTAAAAAACTTAACAAATTCTTATTTCTGATAATTTCACCTGACCTTTTCTCATTCAGAGTTAGACAAAAACATTCCGAAATATTTTGGTGCATATCATGTTTTATAATATTAAGACACATAAAGCTTTAAACAGTTATAGAGCGTAAATTGTTCAGTTTAGCTATAACAGTGTTAAATGTGGGACGCTTCAATGGATCAATATCCCACGAATCTTTCATAATGCTGTATATTTCTGGTGGACAACCTTCTGGAGCTTCCATTCTATACCCCTTTTCTACGTGCATAACTACATCTGCAAGAGGCTAAAACAAAAACAAACTTTTGAAATCTATATAGTTTGATTTTGGAAGATTTATTTTTTAATCTTACAAATATAAGAATGTAATAAATGAAATGGGTTGAATTTTATTATTTTAGACAGAGCGAGAGAAATGGGGTTTATCATCTACTCGACACAAACTAGCTGTTTCCGGGACTAACATATGGTTCAATTTTATTTCATTAATTCACTTGCAGTTGCACTTACTTTAGCAGTGGGAGGAAACTGGGGGACCCGGAGAAAACCCATGAGGTTGGACAGGCAACCCTACACTTTGTCACATGCAAGCAGGGATTCGAAACCATGCCGCTCGAATCAATGACAGACTTCATGATGCAATGCGCACAAGTGAACCATTCAGCCTCCCAACCCCCCTATTATTTTAGTACTTGATGTTAAATTTAGTATGTCTATAGAATGAATATTTGAAATTAAAAAGCATTACAGTTAAGATTGCAATTACATTTATGATACAAAATAAACGGGCACTGCAGTGGATACTATAGTTAAATTTGTGATTTTATTTACAATTCACAGGTAATCAAAGTATAAAATAATCTTTGAACTTACAATTCTAGGATAAGGCACTCGACCAAAGGAATAAATTTCCCACAGTAATATACCAAAACTCCACATGTCTGATTTACTTGTAAATTTCTGAAAAACACAAAACACAAAATAGATTTGTAAATAATTATGTTTTTAATTAGTCTACAATATTTGTTTGGTTTCTTTTATGGTGTTCATAACAACACCTTAAAAAGTTCATCTTCAACTGACCTCACCTATTACTGGCAATGGCAAGAATGATTTGAACCAGTGCCAAAAATTAGACATTATAAGGGGATTGATCTTCATGTAAATCAAGATTAATTAAAACTGAAAGAACAAATGTCAAATTATCTGTTTTTTAAGGTTATTAAATTGCTACAAAGGAAAAAAAAAAGTCATTATTAAATTTTCTCAAATAAAAAAACCAAAGTGACCTACATTTTCTCGCAATGCTTCTGGTGCTGTCCATTTAATAGGAAACTTGACTCCTTCTTGACTAAAGTTATCATGTTTAGCAAGTCCAAAATCAGAAACCTAAAAGTTAAAACAAAAACTGCCTTACACATTTTTTTAGTGAATAATTGGTCAAATGGAATCCAGATTTTTATACTATTCAAATCAAACTACAGCACAACTACATTCTACATGCCTAATGTGCTGTGCAGGAACAGCTGATTCTCTGCAGAAGATTGGTCGGGGATGTATCTGAAGAAGGGTTTCTAAATTCATCTAATGTGTAAAGACAAAATTTCTTTATAAATTACATGCATTTGCTAATGTAACAAGCCAATAATGAGACTGATGTCCCCGGCTAATATCCCAAAATAAATAGATGCCAGATATTAATTAACTGCACATTTATCTTTTTCAAAAGTATTGAGCAATCAAACTAATTATCTATACTTAGGCTACGCATAAAATGTTCACAATCAAACTCAGGTAGTGAAACTATTACTACATGTATCACTCAACTAGAATCAAAGTTATCAAGCTCCAAAGTCTTGACCAATCAAATTGTTTATTGCTCTGCTTACCCTAGCCGAAAAGGCTCATTATCGAACTTAGTCAAGGTATTGATGTGATAAAACTATATGCCAAGTTTCACCACTCTCACTTTAACATGCATTATGCAAGAGCTAAATCTGTCTATTGCAGGTCTTTCTTTAGGCCTGAAATGTTATATAAACTATTAATTACAGTGGACTCAAATCCGACATCGTACGGGATCGTTACAATATGTCGGGTTACGCAGAGTGTCAGAATACTCAGTTTTCTCAAAACCGGAAGTATTATTTTAACTTCGAAAACCGGAAGTATTATTATAATGTAGCTTTGAATCCCCAGAATGTTATTCCCTTTAAAAATGATAAACCTTTCTGTACATTCAAAATTTTATTACATTAATTTTTATTTCATTTAACATGCGTAGGCATTTTGAATAAGTCAAGTCTGTCGTTAATTTATTTTCTTCATTGTCTTCAGTCGATTGCACACTTGTTCATTGATAAGCTGTCGTTTTATGTCCAGGAGAGATCCAAACTTAGGTATTCTGGTTCAATCGGCATGCGCAACAAATATTTCCAACAGGTGCTAGGAATATTTTTACAACTGTGAATTCGTGGGAAAATTTGTAGGTATTTTGAATATTTGTCACAACTGTCTAACAAGAGATTATAAAATTATCAAAGTAATCAACAAAGACCTACGCGAGCGAGTTTTAATCTCACGGATAATATTAGTGATTGCTTGTCAATCTTTTGTGGCTTCACACCCACTGATCGAAGGTTGGATTATACAATGTTGATTCCATGAAAATTGTGTGACGGGACGGCTGATTGATGTCATGATTCGGAATATTCAGAATACGATGAAAATGATGTCGGATTTCACAGAATGTCGTAGTATTCAAATGTTGGATGTGACAGAGTCCACTGTAGATATTTATTAAGCAATTTGACTGAAATTTTCTGCATATTCTGTTTATATTATCTAGTTTTTAACTATTATTTTGAGAACTACCAGCTCTTTTAGTCTTTATCTACTCTTCCATAATGTATCTTTAATTAGAACCAAAGTTATACTGTCCCAAAGCCTCAACCAATCAAATTGTTTATCTCTGCTTACCCTAAGCAGAAAATGCTCATCTTGAACTCCATCAAGGCATTCACCTAATGAATGCCTATACCAAGTTCAAACATTCAACCTCAATTAGAAGGAAAGTTATTGTGTTACAAAGTCTCAACCAATCAAATTGCTTATTGCTCTGCTTACCCAGAGTAGAAAATGTTCATTATCGAATTTAGTCAAGGTATTGCATGATGTAATGAAACTAAACATTAAGTTCGATCACTCAAATTGAATTAGAAATAAAGTTATTGTGTCCCAAAGCATCAACCAATCAAATTAAGCAGAAAACGCTCATAATAAAACTCTATCAAGGCATTCACACAATAAATACCCAAACCAAGTTTTAACATTCTCACTCAATTAGAAGGAGAGTTATTTATTGTGTCCAAAAAAGTATGACTGACAGATAGATGCACAGTTTGACAGACAGACGGACGAATGGACAGACCTATTTTAATCGTCCCCTGCTTTCTTCGAAAGAAGGGGGACAATTACCATGCTCCATGGAGGAATGCATATAGAATTTTTCACTCTTCCTATGATAAGAATAAGATCAATCTACTTGGTGAAAAATTAACCAAATTATAATCAGTCAAAGTGAAACAGAAGGTGAACTTTTACCTTTGATGTACCATCATCATTAACCAGTACATTCCTAGCAGCAAGATCTCTATGTACTAAATTTTTACTCTCCAGATAATCCATAGCACTACATGTATCTCTGCAATATAAAATAAGATTGTACAAAATCATCTTGCCAAATAATAATCATTCAATTGACTAGAGCCAAAATATAATGTGTGTTTATATACAAAAGAACTGAGTGTATGTAGTGAAACTTGTTACAAGTTTTTATGTTTATTTTCAATTTCAACACATTTTCGAAATTTATGTCATCGATAAATCGCCAATGCATTGGCCTAACCTGAGATTAAGTTTTAAACAAATGATTCATTTTGTTTGTCTATCAAACTTACGTTGCAAAATTAATCTGGTCTTTCTTTGTAATAACACTTCTACCTCTAGAACGTAGATATTCAACTAAACTACCTCTAGCCATGAACTCTGTTACTAAACATATACCTCCTTCCAGCGTTACTCCTATTAACTGTACTAAATTTGGATGGCGAAGAGATCTGAAACGACACATTTAACACCAAACCTATTACACATGTTTAATTCAGACAAACATTTATTATTAATAGCAGCATAATGTAATTTGACTAAAGTTTTAGAATAAACAAGCAACTGAACAATGTATAATTTACAGTTTTATAATTAAAATGCTTACGTCATGACTGATGCCTCTGTTAAAAACGTTTGTTCAGCTCTGTTATTATCTTTTAATTGTTTTACAGCTACAACCTGTCCCTTGTACATTCCTTTAAATACCTCTATCGTAATATAATATAAAATAAAATAGTGTTAACATTGATAGGAGCTTATCAAGTTCATCAGTAGCTTAATCATACATGTAACAAATGAGTCTGTTTTAAATCTAAAATTAGTGTTGACAAATCCCACAAAGGAAATTTTAACAATCAAACAGTGCCCTGTCTCAATCCCCAAATTAATGACATTCATTAATTATTCGCACATTTGTGACCTGTGCTGGCATAATGAGTCTCAATGAGGAAATTTTGAAAATTGAGTCATTGTTGTTTTCACATTTTCCAATTCAATACCTTCAAAATGATGTATGAATGGTTTGATTCGGGCATAAATTGACTGAGTTGTGTCCGTTTGAAGCTGCCCAAGTCAGGAAAGTAACTTTTGAGAAAGATAGATTGCCAGGCAACGAAACATACACCCACAGCAGCTAAATCGTTTTGGAAGTCAACAAGAGTTGTTGCATATTTTTACTTTTGTCGGTAATGAAACATTTATAATACACTAAAATCTGATTAAGAGTAACAACTCATTAAGTAATTATCAGAATATCATTAGAATTTGTTTGGCCCATGCTAACGTTTAGTATACAAAACATTTGATATCATGGGTTTAGCTGTTCAAGTTTTCAAAAATCATTGAAAATCAATACACATGTACTTGTTCGTCTCAAGACCTTAAACTCTGTGCATCAACCTAAAGTCAATCAAAACGATTATATATAGGCGTAAACATGGTGTATAATATAAAATCAATCAGATGATAACTATGGTCTCTAAATAAAGCATCCACAAGATTTTTCAAAGTGATCAAGGGCCATAACTCTGGCAGTAATTATCGGAAATCGTTGAAAATCAATAGGCTTCTTCGTCTCAATTTTTTTTCAAATAATGCATGTGATTATGTCAACATATCCTTTCCATAAGTATAACCCGAACGCGAATGTCAATATTACCTGCAACAGGTAAATTTCAACATTAGTAATTCCCGCCGTTCTCCGTGAGTAGTCGGAACTTTCCGTTAATAAGCAATCCATGACGTCATTTTAGTCCTTCTGCACATATAAATATAGTCTAGAATATGAGCAGGACTAAAATGACGTCACAGATTGTTTGTTTACGGAAAGTTACGACTGCCCATGGAGAATGGCGGAAATTACTCATGTTGAAATTTACCTGTTGCAGGTAATATTGACATTCGGGTTCGTGTTATATTTATGGAAAGGATATGTTGACATAATTACTTGCATTATTTAAGCCAGCCAGCAAGAGTGTTATTGTCCCTTTAACATATTGAAGCAACAAAATATCACTATTATGTGTACCATACCTCCAAAAGCTCCCCTTCCAATAGTTTCCATTCTTTTTAATTCACCTGGAGGTATCACCCATCCACCTGATTGGAAATCCTGTACACTAACAGTACCAAAACTTGTACCAGCTTTCCTTATAGGTAGAACTAAATTTGTACATAAACCATCAGCATCTTTGGTATAGTGCTACAAACCATTGAAATTTTATTTGAATATCACACACATGTACAGGTATCCAATTGCAAAACAAGAAATTTAGAATATCAAATAACAACAAATTACCTAAATAATACATGCTCTGGAGAAGTATTATCATTATTAAAAATAATATGTAGCTTTAAAATCAGTGAACGCCAGCATCTATACCGCTGCAATATACATCCACATTCCTGCTTTGATTGATATGATACTTTTTAAAATGAAGAGAATGAAATGAGAAATGGCTGCAGCGACTGTAATATGACAAGAGGCAAAGAAGGCCAGGTGTTGGGTTTGTTTTGTGAACTAAAAAATGGGTGTGACACTGCCCCTGGGATTGGGACATGCACGAAAATAGATAGCTGCTGTCATTATCGTATGAGGAATAAATATGCCAACTTCCAAGATGTACATGAGCATATAAAAAGGAGGTCTTCCTTTTTGTAGTCTTAAGTCTTCATTTTATACATTGAAGAGGGCTAAACATGTTGCTTACTCATACTGAATCCATACGACAGAAAGTAAAAATTCAAAGTATAATAAACCACTTCAGCAAACCATGCGTGTTAAATTTAAAACAACAATGAGAGTTTCATGTATACCAATTATTAGACTAGATTTATACCTCAACTAATTCCGTTAAATTTCTAAAATATGATTCATCATCAATGGTTAATCTGTTTTCTTTATATAATATATGGTAATGTTCCACTTTATTCTGATGACAAACGCACAGCGTATAGTCTCCGGGAAAATTTCCACTTTCACGAATTAAATAAAGACCATCTTGGTACGGCTTTAATAGTTCCTCAGCTTGCTCCCGCTTAATTTTTCCATGAAACCATCTACAATTAAACAATACCATCATGCTATTAGTAAAAACAGAAACAACACATACAGTAAGTAATGCATTGACTTTAACAAGATGGTCCACCTGGTTCTACATCCTAACTAAAGCTGACAGCTACTTGAATCCCTGAATCACCTCTTAACACTTTTCTAGTCTGTTCCAACTCCACACATACATTATGCAAGCGCTAAATCTGCCTATTACAGGTCTTTCTTTAGGCCTGAAAAGTTATCTAAATTATTAATTAGACATTAATTAACTTATCCAGACCATAATCAACTCTTGATGTCATCGCTAGCCTGCGATGATTATTGGATTAGGTTCCGATTTGCTGTTCGACTTCCATTTATGATTTAATCATGAAATGGATAATCAAGACTATGTTTTTTATCGCACTGACTTTAGTAATGATGATCGAGGCTAGGCCGAAAATTCAATCGCAAAAATCTTGGTTCAGAGTGGATTATCTTGGTTCAGAGTGGATCAATTTGACTGAAATTTTCTGCAAATTCCCTTTAGATTATCTAGTTTGTAACTATTATAGTGAGAACTGCCAGCTCTTTATCTAATTTCCAATAATGTATCTTTAATAAAGACTGCCTTTGTGATTCCACTGTCAGCCCCCCAGTATGGATGACATCATTTAATTAAGAGTAGTACAGAACTTAGAATTTTTGTAAATGTTGATGCATATTGCTGTCATCATTACCTATCTATTAAAATACAGAAAACGATGGACTATCTCCTTTAACTACATAAATTATTAGCAATACAAACTGAATCAGTATACTGAGTAATGATGAAAATAATTCACATCATAAACATGTAGGATATGATTGGAAAAATGTTCTTAAAACTGTCAAAAAGGAATGACCAGCGGCTGCCAGGCAGGATACGCCCACATTTTCGAGAGATGGATAGAGAACAAGCTAACAAGAAAGTGATTTTTCCTACAATCAAGGGCCATAATTCAGGAAATTACAATTCGATATACAAATATCGAAAGGAACTGAGATCTTTGTGTTATAAACTTACATTTCAAGTTTCAACAAAATCGGATAAAAATTGCGACCTCTATAGGGTCCACAACCTTGATATACCATATTTTTACGCAATTTGAGAACGAACGGCGGCCATTTTGTCCGTCAATTTTGGGCCGATTTTCACAGTGATATAATAGAAAGTTTTTTTTAAATCGGATAAAAATTATGACCTCTATAGGGTCCACAAGCTAAAAACGTGATTTTTCGTACAATCAGGGGCCATAATTCAGGAAGTTACGGTCCGATATGCGCGAATATCGAAAGGAACCGAGATCTTTGGGTTATAAACTTACTTTTCAAGTTTCAACAAAATTGGATCAAAATTGTGACCTCTATAGGGTCCACAACCTTGATATACCATATTTTTATGCTAGTTGAGAACGAACGGCGGCCATTTTGTCTGTCAATTTTGGGCCGATTTTCACGAAATTCGAACTCAATCGTCTTTAGGGTGTAACGGTGATATAATAATACGTTTTTTTAAATCAGATAAAAATTATGACCTCTATACGGTCCACAAGATAAAAACGCGATTTTTCGTACAATCAGGGGCCATAATTCAGGAAGTTACGGTCCGATATGCGCGAATATCGAAAGGAACCGAGATTTTTGGGTTATAAATTTACATTTCAAGTTTCAACAAAATCGAATAAAAAGTGTGACCTCTATAGGGTCCACAACCTTGATATACCATATTTTTACGCTAGTTGAGAACGAACGGCGGCCACCTTCTTTCTCTGTTTTCGGCCAATTTTCACGAAATTCGAACTCAGTCGTCTTTAGGGTGTAACGATGATATAATAATACGTTTTTTTAAATCAGATAAAAATTATGACCTCTATACGGTCCACAAGATAAAAACGCGATTTTTCGTAAAATCAGGGGCCATAATTCAGGAAGTTACGGTCCGATATGCGCGAATATCGAAAGGAACTGAGATCTTTGTGTTATAAACTTACATTTCAAGTTTCAACAAAATCGGATAAAAACTGCGACCTCTATAGGGTCCACAACCTTGATATACCATATTTTTATGCTAGTTGAGAACGAACGGCGGCCATTTTGTCTGTCAATTTTGGGCCGATTTTTACGAAATTCGAAATCAGTTGTCCTTAGGGTGTAACGGTAATATAATAATACGTTTTTTTAAATCAGATAAAATTTATGACTTCTATAGGGTCCACAAGCTAAAAACAGAATTTTTCGTACAATCAGGGGCCATAATTCAGGAAGTTATGGTCCAATATGCGCGAATATCGAAAGGAACCAAGATCTTTGGGTTATAAACTTACATTTCAAGTTTCAACAAAATCGATAAAAATTGTAACCTCTATAGAGTCCACAAGCTAAAAACGTGATTTTTCGTACAAACAGGGGCCATAATCCATGAAGTTTTGATCCGATACATGCCAATATCGAAAGCAGCCGAGATGTTTGGCAGATAAACCTATATTTCAAGTTTCGTCAAAATCGGATAAGAATTGTGACCTGTAGAGTGTCCACAAACAATTGTGGACGGACGGACGGACGGGGGCGACTACAATAAACGTCCACATGAAAATGTGGGCGTATAAAAATCTCTACATTGTCTATGAAATTGTCTTGTAAAAGTGCACATGATTTTTACATTTGTCTTCAAATGTGCAATTGATGGAGTTTTTTTTACTTTATCAACGAGTGTTGATATTTTTTGATATCAAAAAAGACTAGTAGGAGATTTTATTTATCACCCAATCCCTTCTTACATGCACAAATAGATAAATATAATTCTTTTTTGTAGATTTAACTTTTACTGAACATTATGGCGTAGAGATACATCATTTTTTGACAGCAATTCAACCATTGCAAAGTCCTTTTTTTAATTATATTGACCCAGTGTTTCCATCAAGGTCAATTGAATAACAATAGTTCATTTTTAATATTAAAAAAAGTTACTTTTAATAAGAAATGAACTGTTCTTTGAAAATAAAAAAAAGTAGTTCCTTTTCAACTGATCAATCAAATTCATGTAAATTATGAAATATATCACACAAACGATATCTACTGTAGAATGTATTATTGGGTGATAAATTAGAATATATACCTTATATGGAGAGAGAGAGAGAGAGAGAGAAATGGGGTTTAGCGTCCACTCGACACAAACTAGGTCATTTCGGGACTAACATATGGTTTAATTTTATTTCAATAATTCGCTTGCGCATATGGGTCTTTAGCAGTGGAAGGAAACCGGAGGACCCGGAGAAAACCCACGAGGTTGGACAGGCGACCCTACTCCTTGTCACATACAACCGGGGATTCGAAACCACGCCAGTCGACTCAATGACAGACTTTATGATACAACGCGCGCACGCTAACCATTCAGCCATCCAACCCCTCCTACCTTATATGGGATCTACTTCGAAGCTCATTTGCATATGGAAAAAAGTCTATTATACTGTGTTTAGAACTTTTGAAAAGTGTATTCTGTATTTTAACACTGTGACATTGGTACTGTGGAGCAATGGAAATTCCAAATTGTAAAACTAAAATACATATTTTGAATTGCTAACTTGTATTTTGCACCGTGAACATTGAAATAATATTGACAATGTTATCCTTCCAATCCATATCAGTATGGTACTTAATAAAAGACAAAAAATAAGTAGACATTTATGTTCTCGCTTAAAATTGCTTTAAAAGTATGTACAAATGTAAATATCAGGCGAAAATGACTAAGCTTAAACACATAAATTTAATAAAAAAAAAAAGAAGAAAATTTGGGATTGGATTCACCTAAACTATGATCTTTAAACTGAGAAATGGCTAGAAATATAAAGAAATAACAAGTGTATCATCTAAATTCATATATACATGTACAAAACAATTCTAGTCACATGTTCTGTATTTTCATGCCTGATAGACACAAAAGAAGTTCAAAAATAGATGTATAACTTCACACGCAAGACATCTTTAATTCCAACAATTCATGTTAATTAGAATATATATTAGATGTAGTACTGATTATTGTAAAGGGTTTTAACAGGGAATACATAATGTAAAACTTTATTAATTTTCATGTTCAACACCTTGACTTAAAGCTGCTGATCATCATTTGCATTTTTTTCAACAATATCTAATATTTTGTACAGGTAAATTAACACTAAAATGTCCCCTATTTGATTATTTAACAATGAAAAAAATCCAATATCTACAACATACAATTCAATCAGAATAAAAAGATTTTAGCTAAGATTATAGGTAGTACTGGCTTTGTTTGGCTGTAACCAGTTTATAATTACTTCAGGAGGATGCCGAATGTAAACAAATCTTCAATTTCTCATATCTTTGTTAATACTAACAAGAATTAAACCCGTATTGTACTGATATTCCTTTAGAGGTTTACCTTTCACAATAGTTTGCAAGGGATTAAAAAAAAAACAAATGACAATCAGGGACTTTAAGAGTCCTTTATAATAATATATATCTTCATATAATCTAATGTAATATCAACATAATTACAAGTAATAAAACATCCAATCCATGCATGTAATGCTGAAATCTGTCATTCGCAGGCATTTATACCTCTACTAGTTCTATCAGTGTATTAAACTGACTGTCTCCCCCATCAACCTCCAATAAATTATTTCTTGTCAATACACGATAATGATCTATTCTCCTATTATAAGTAACAGACAGAGTATAGTCTCCTTGATAGTGAACACTATCTCGGATTAAAAACGTTCCGTTTGGACAAAACATCAGCATATCCTCCGCTTCTTCTCTAGATATTGGACCATGATACCATCTAGTTTATATCAAAATAAAAATATCAATTTATATAGTTAAAAAAAATTAAATATCATACACATGTACATCATGCAAACATTTTCTGCCTAAGAAACTTCTGATATTTCACAGACTACCAGCACTTCTAAAATTGGGCACAGTAGGATCGCCGTCTGTCTGTACCCATAACGTTGTGCGATTATCAAGTCACTCATAGTTTTATTGTAGAACAAACCAACAGTGAGACTGGTGGCCCTGGCCCGCCACTCATTAAGTAATGGCACATTTGTCTGTTTGTAAAGCATTGAAGAATCAAACTTAGACTAAGCAGAAAATGCTCATGATCAAATTCAATCTGATTAAAACACAGATCCTATTTCATTTCGTTTTTTATAGTTCAAAATGTTGTTTTACTAGTCTTCACAGTCTGGAAGAATTGTTGTATAACAGGCGATCTAGTTTGTGTGAGGAATTAGCCAATGAAACAGTCTGTTACTGCGAGTTCTTGGCAAGCTCTGCACAGAACTGTGTGTAAACCCCTAGAAATGTCAATGCTGATTGATTAATCAAAGTCTTGCGCCATAGGGTCAAAAGACGCTCATATGACGCGACCTCCCAGTAGGACTGGTCAGATCTTCATGTAGTGTAGGCAATCGAGAGTATAAAAAACCAAAACGAAATACAGATCTGTATTTTAATCAGATTGGATCAAATTTAGTCAAGGTTTTGATGTAGAGAAACTATAGACCAAGTCTCATCACTTTTTTGTTCCAAAGCATTGACCAATCAAACTGCTTACCCCTGCTTAGCCTTAGCCGAAAATCATCAAACTCCATCAAGAAGAACTGACAGATGCACAGACCTATTGTAATAGTCCCTGCTTTCATCGAAAGCAGGGGACAATGAAATTTCTGAAATGAGTTACATGTACACAACCCGTCAACCCCCGTATGTAAATTTTGTGCTCATTTCTGATCGACTGGATCAGTATTTTGGTTTGAATTTTTTGATAATGCAACTAGGCTAATATATATCGTAACATTTTTGGCATTTGATTTACATACTTAAACCTACTATTATTAACAGTGGCTTTTAAAATCTGGGATTTCCCCCGTAAACCATTCTACAACTTCCTTTGGAACAATCATTGTTATTGCTACATTTGTAGGTGAATTAATTAATTTATTTCTTAGAAGGAAGACCATTTGTATTCATTCAAATTTTCTTGAGATATTCATTACACAAATTCATTTAGGAAAAGCAGTAATCAGTAAATTTTATTAACTTGCAAAAGAAAACCCATTATAATTATAACTAACACCTTAACACAAATGAAAACAAATCAGTTACTCTTAATCTTATCTTATATATTGTTTGATTTATCATAATCCTAAACACAACCTTACATCTGTTTTATAAAGTTCTATTTAAATAATATGGGACTAAATTGTTTTCCTCATGCAATGTAATCTTAGCTGTGCCATGTGACACATTATCTTGAACAATCTACCAGTTGAAAAACAAATGAAGCCAGGAAAAGAACCTCTCCACAGTAGAAACTACTAGCACTGACTAATTTTAATAATACCAGTTTGATAAGGATAAAAAACATATATTTCCCTATGTATGTCCTGTTCCCAAATAATCTCATCCATGATGTATTATGTAAGAATTAGATAAAGAACTGTCAGTTCTCGCTATAATAGTAATAGTTTAAAAAAAATAGATAATAAAAGGGAATATGTTGAAAATTTTAGTCAAATTACTTATTCTGGACCAAGTTATTGCCGTTAGATGAACAGTGTAGTCTTGATTGTCATTTCTACAGCTGTTACGATAATGAGCCAACAGTGAGGCTGATGTCCCCTGCCGAAATCCCAAAATAAATAGATGACACATATTAATTAATCGCACATTTATTTTTTTTCAAAAGTATCGAGCAATCAAACTACACACTAAGTTTCATCACACTCTATCAGATACAATCAAGATTATCTTGTCCCAAAGCATCGACCAATGAAATTGATTAGCTCCGCTTAGCTTTAGCTTGAAATGTTAATTATTGAATTTGAAATCAGTCAAGACATTCACCTAATGAACATCTACATCAGGTTTAAACAATCTACCTCAATTAAAAGCAGAGTTTTTATGTTCCAAAGTCTTGACCAATCAAATTGCTTATAGCTCCTTAGCCCAGGCAGAAAATTCGCACAATCGAACTTAGTCAAGGTAATGATATAATGAATCTATATTCAGAGTTTCATCGCTCTCACTTCATTATAACCAAAGTTATCGTTCCCCTAAAGCATCAACCAATCAGATTGCTTATCTCTGCCTATCGTAAGCAGACAATGTTCATCATCGAACTCCATCAAGGGATTCACCTAATGAATGCCTACACCAAGTTTGAATATTCTACCTCAATTAGAAGGAGAGTTATTGTGTTCCAAAGTCTTGACCAATCAATTTGCTTATCACTCTGCTTACCCTCAGCAAAAAATGTTCATTATTGAACTTAGCCAAGGTATTGATGTAATAATGTTATAGTATACACCAAAAGTCCTCACTCTCACTTAATTAGAACTAAAGTTATCGTGTCCCAAAGCATCAACCAATTAAATTGCTTATCTCTGCTTACCCTAAGCAGAAAATTCTCATCTTCGAACTCCATCAATCTCAAAGTTTTCCCTGTTTAATTAATCCACACTAAAATGTCCTCAAATTGATTATCTAGTATTTAATTTAGAAAACAAAATCAAAATATCAATGGTTTGGATTTAATCTGATTGAAAAGAGGCTCATCAAAAGATTTCAGCAAATATCTATCTGTGCTGGTGGCTTGTTTTGACCATACCCTGTGTTTCATCTGCCGTGGATGCCGAATGATGACAAAATTTTAATTCATCACATTCTTAGTAAATCACAATATTGTCATTTGCAATATAATATATTTTTAAAACATTGTACTTACGGCATGGCTTGTAACTGTACAACTGTTCTTTCTTGTACATAATTAGCAGGAATCATCCCTTCTTTATGGTTTCTGTTCCGTGCCATAAACCAGTATGGATCCTAGAAAACATTAAAAAATAAAACTATATGTACATCTAAACTATTTTCTTAAAATTTCTTGGTACTATCTATTCTTATCTGAAATTATAAAGCTTACAAGTAATTTGTTTTCTTTCATGTTTGAAGCGTGGGGTTTATACTCACGATATAGTTGCATGTTTATTAAGTTACTTGTAGTACATACATATTATATATGTGTAGCATCATAGATGTGTATTATTAAAATTATTGAATTGAAGAGAAGAGATCTTAATGAACAGGAAAAAAGTCAATTATTTTTACGACTTACTGTGGTAGGTCTCACAATGACCAAAATATCCCCTTTGGCGAACGGTAGATCTTCTTGTGACCTGCCTGGAAAGTCGTAATTAGCAATTACTTCTGAGCCAGCTTGCCAACTTTGCTGTAATAATTTAAAGCAGTCGTAATTAGACATGAACAAACAAATATTTCATAAAATCATATATCAAAACAGTATTGATATGTTATTAATAGTAATTTATGGTACATTGCACTTTAAATATTGAACACAAAGCTGGGCCTAAATGTACATGTGTGTATATTGTATGCTGACTGCACGAAAATGAATCCATTCCCTGCAAAAAGCAAATTTGTTCAATGATGTACTTTCTGATAAATCTCAAACAAGCAAAATGTACATCATACAAAGCTCACATGGTAAAAAGAAGGGCTGTGCAATAATTGTTCTTCATTAATATAAAATAAAATATAATTTATTTTTCCTACAAATTGACTCAACCCACATGAGCAAAATTAATCTGAATCAAAAAATTTTGTCTGGCCTTAATCAATTTAAGTATTTTATACCTCAATCAAATTTATACATTTCTGAGCAATTAGTGGAAAAGTTATAACACAAACAAGTCAACTGATTACAGTTTAATTAAATTGACATGATGAGTTATCATTAATTTGTAAATCAAATTATAATCCATTGATAAAATTATGCAATACGAAGCATTCCAGTGTTCCTCACACCCAATAATCTGAATGAAAAATCTATAATTCTGAATCAGTATGACTGATTTGATAAGTGAAATACAGTCAGCAATGCATAGCATTAGAACGTCTTCCATCAGCAACAACAATTAAGATAATGTCATGACAAGAAATCCAAGGGTGCATTCAAGTAAGAGAAAACAAAATATACAGACAACAAGCAGTTAAATAAAAATAACAATATGGAATAAGAATTACTCAGCTTTTATTACTTCAGTATTTCGACTGAAGACTAGAGAAGTCTCTAGTTGAAACTTCGATTTAAAGGCAGAAATTCTTTAACTCAATATCATCCACAATTTAAATCAACACTGATGTTGTTATCTTACTGTAAATTGCATGCCAGAATGCTTTCGACTCAAGCGCCATTTGTAATGGAGCGACTCGATGAACGAGGCTAAATATATTCCACAGGAGAATACCAATGACGTCATTGTAGAATACCACCGCTGTAGACAAGAAAAACCTGACGTCAAAGACTGCCATTCAATTTGGACTCTTCGCCGAACATAACTGATGAGAAATTACAGTAAAAACAGAAACGATTGAATGTAAATATGTTTATACACATTCATTTTACATTATTATATGCGTTGCGTCCCATTTGTGTCCATTTCTAGGTGCAAAATATTAGAGATTTAGCTCCTTTAATAAAAGCTACAAGTAAGTAATGTTATTCCATAACATGTAGTTACTTTTATTTACTTATAATACTAAATGCTATTTAAACAAAAAATTTCACAGATTAAATATAAACTGTGGGAAGAAATGAATTACTGTAAAGTATATAAATTTATATATGTGTTATTTATTGGTACAATAAATATGCAATAGTTTAATTTAATCAATCACAATCACATCATGACTCATGATTGATATAACATTATTATTGTCTATTTTTATAACAGCTATGTACAATGTATGATATTTTGTACCCAGTCTCGGTATGTACATGTATATGTATATGTATTTAGCACATCATGATTACATCAAAATTAGTCAACTACATGTATATAATTCATAAATTGTATCCCTTTACCAAGGTACATGTACAATGTACATGTACATGCAAGTTGTAACTGATCAGATCAAAGTATGATTTTAGTCTGGATCAATATCTTTATGATTTAAGTTTTAATGAATAGCATGTTCTTCATGTAACTGAGTTTTGTTCATTTTAATGAACTAAACTCAGTTACAGGAATCCTACACTTGCACAATGTTGAGCAAATGGTACCAAGCAATAATAATTTTACTACTGACAATCATTGATTTTTATTGATGGTTAAGTACATTTAGGTAGGTTGCTGGATGCATCAATTAAAATTTACAGTTAAATTTGTAAACAATGTGTATTATGATAGGTAAGCTAAAACTATGTTTATCTTATAATTAAATACTAAACTAGTGTAACCATGGTTCATTTGGTCTGTATGATTATTTCAATCAGTCAATGTCCAGGTTTGTTTGCATTACTGAACTAATCAAAAGGGCAACCCCCCTTTGGTAGACATGTAGTAAATAATCTATCTATACATGTAATTTTCAGACTAAATTTTATACAATTTTAGTACATGTACTAACATTGTATAAATATATTTTCTTAATTTCCTCAAATTTGCTTGACAAGTAAGCCTACACTAGAATAAAGTAATACAAACGCAAAAGGCACAAGAGTTTGTGTGCATTAAAGATTTTGACCACAGATCCTTCCCTAAATGAAACAGACAATCTGCTTCCAGAAGATCTTGAAAGAGTTTCTGCAATTCTTGTATTGTGTTACATTTAGAGCACCCCATCATTATTTTGTCTGTGACAACAAGCAGAAATATACACCAATTAGCTAACATATATCATGTAATTGTTATTGGAATAACATCAAGAGTCCCAAACATGTACTTTGCTGGAGAATTGAAATCATGTTTCATTTTCAATGTGCTCATTTTTACCTCTGCATCAGTTATTGTATCTTCCAATAATCTAGTCCTTTTGGCGTAACTTGCCATTGCTTTCCTCAATATAAAGGACATACCCCACAGATCATAAAATCAGTACATTCACAGTAAGATGTTCATCTAACATGTCACTGCATTTGGCAAAGACTATATACTATGCTTTTCAGTATTATTATGCAATAAGAATTGGCAATTGTCAATTTCTAAACTTTGCTAACATTTACAAATTGTGTTCAAATACATATACGCAGGGTGTCATCTTCACCATACCAAGATGTACCTTGTTTATGTTGTTACTATGTTTTTCTGTAAATTCAGAGAGTGATGCCTGGTGTCAATTTTTCAAGGTCTGAAGTTACTTCCTATAAGACTGAAAAAAACTAACAAACCAGGTGCCACTTGAAATTGAACAGAACTTCACAAATTACAATACAACATAATTTATTCCATTTTGGGTTCTTTTATTATTTCAAGAGAAATTAAATAAATATTTAATTTTGTTTCCTTAATGGCTAAATAATAAGTTTAGAGTAAGAAGTATGGGTTAAGCTGAAAAAAATTAAATGTTTTGTCTCAAAAATGCAAATTAGCAGTTTTAGTTAATAAATATCATGATAATTCTTATAAATGTAAATTATGTGGTAATACAAGTTATCATTCAGTAAAATATATAGGTAGCCAAGGGATCAGATAATTGTCCTACTAATAGTAATACATGAACCATGGTATGGTGAAGATGGCAGGGTGGTGGCTACGTCAATGTTTCTCTAATTAACATTGAAACAGTATCAAAATAGATGACATTTAATAAGAAACACTATATACTTGTACTTGCAACATAATCACAGTAATGTGAAATACAATACAACATATCAGATTATGTAGCGATGATATACATGTACCTTATATAAAGCAATGTTGGCCATTGCTCAAAGAGAGAGAGAGAAAGAGAGAGAGAGAGAAATGGGGTTTAACGTCCACGGCACAAATTAGGTCATTTTGAGACTGAAACATGGTTTAATTTTATTTAAATAATTCACTCGTAGGGGTCTGAACATATAGCTGTGGGAGGCAACCTGATGACCTGGAAATCACCTACAAGATTGGGCAGGCCCCCTACTCCTTGTCACATACATGTACAAGCAGGGACTCAAAACCATGTCACATAACTCAATGACAGACCTTATGGTCTGACATACGTGCATTAAATGTGTTAATCAATCTGAAAATTGATTAGGAGTTCCTCTTGGTTAAATAGCAAATTTTCACCGTATTGTATTGAACGATTTTGTAGGCCATAATTTCTACCAGTATGGCATACAATTAATGTTTAAATGTGTGTATGAGAGGCTTTCATCCTCTTTAATAGACTTTTAAAGCAACCAGGCAACAAAACATACGCACGCAGCAGCTAAATCATCCGGGCAGTCAACATGAGTTGTCGCATATTTTTACATTTGTTGGTAATGAAACATTTAGAATATACTAAAATCTGATTAAGAGTAACAACTCATTAAGTAATTATCAGAAAATCATTAGAATTTGGCCCATGCTAACGTTTAGTATACAAAACATTTAATTTAGCTGTTCAAGTTACCAAAAATCATTGAAAATCAATATACTTCTTCGTCTCAAGACCTTAAACTCTGTGTAACAATCTAAGTCAATCAAAATGATTATATATAGGCATAAACATGGTCTATAAATATAAAATTAATCAGATGATAACTATGGTCTCTAAAGCATCCACAAGATATTTCAAAGTGATCAAGGGCCATAACTCTGGCAGTAATTATCGGAAATCAGTGAAAATCAATAGGCTTCTTCATCTCATGACCTTTTAAACACTGTGAATAAATTTAAAGTCAATCGGATATTAATTCTAGAGTGTCCACAAGATTTTTCAAAGTGATCAAGGGCCATAACTATCGCAGTAATTACCAGAAATCCATGAAAATCAATAGGCTTCTTCGTCTCATGACCTTAAACACTGTGTATAAATATAAAGTTAATCAGATATTAACTTTAGCCTCTACAGCGTCCACAAGATATTTTCAAAGTGATCAAGGGCCATAACTCTGGCAGCAATTATTGGAAATCGTTGAAAATCAATACACTTCATAAGATTTTCATAATAAGATAAATTGTCATTATATAACTAAGGTAAAATTTCTATGTGCGAAAGTATCTAACTACACGGAGCAATTAATGCACAGACCATGGAGATTTTAATAACTGTCATTACATATACATTGTATGGTAAAAATTCTATCAGTCGAAGTATCTACAGGTAAACATGCTGCAATTAATGCACAAATGGAGATTTTAGCCTCAAAACACGGTAATATTAATCTAATCCGAATTTGCTTTTAGACCTTGTTTCATAATTATAATTTTTATAAGGCTGGCTTAGTATCTTAAAGTTAAACCAATGTGTTTGCTAATTACATGTACATGTATCATAAACAAATTTTAGTTTTTTTGCTAGGACTACAACAAATCCCTATTTGTGCGCTAGGCTCAAGAGTAATGTGCTACTATCACATTATCCTTACCGTATATGCATAACAATTTTTAAAACATACAGTACATTACCGATATATTTATTTTTACCTCCATTTGACCTGGGATGACTGGCATCTTCGAGCTTTTACAACTTCATTCAAACTATATCACTAGCTTCTAAAGTCTATCTACAATAAATAGATTGTATATAATTAGCAGTGCATGTATGTATTTGAACACAAATTTTTTTTTAAATTATGCAATTACTAAATGTGATTAATAATTCCAAAATATTATTTGTTACTACCAAAAAAATTTAGCACATAAAAAGTGTAATAAAAATCAAAATTTAATTATATAGCTTTATTCCAAAAATAGATACATAATAATGAGAGATATATGTACGGTACTACAATGTCTACAACTACATGTATTTTCAAAACTGTCTGTTTAAATGCCACTCTAAATGAAAGTTTGATGCCAAGCTGAAATATATTATTTTCTAACCGCAATTTTACAGTACTTAGAAAAAAACAAACTACTAATAGTTCAAAGGTCTACATTCTAATTACAGTGTATGTTTGGTTTACAATGTGTGTACCAATATTAATAAGTATAACATCAGATACCCCAAAATAGCTAAGTGGTGAGTTATGTATTAACCTGTTTTACAACCTATCAGTCATAGATACAGGTGAATCTAAGTAAACCACTTTACAACATGAAGATCGAAAAATTTTCATTGACTTCTGGTCTTGAATGTGTAGTTTTTCTTATTTGATGCACAGTCTTTTGTACGATCCAATTCAAAGTGGAAAAGATATGAAAGTTTGAGGTAAAATACAGCATGCATGTAGTTAAGGTTATAATTATTGCTGCACCCGTAGTACTAAGATGAGTATATATATCTACATGTGAATTCTTCATCAAGTTCAAATTGAAGTCAAGATGAAAACAAGTAGGCTAAGTCAATACCAATACATGTATACAAATTTTTCAACTTAATCTTTCCTTTCTGAACATTTCACACGAAAACTAAAATCAATTTACCAACAGTTGTGTGCTTACCACGTAAAGTAGTGTTAATATTTATATTTTCTTGTTTACTTATAAACAAGTACACATAAACAAACATTAAAATGGGCAATTTTCTACTTAAATGAACAGGATTAATAATAGTGTTTTTTCACAATATGTCACAGAAAGAAGACCGTATTTTAATAAAATTCTTATGTACATTTATGTAATGTATGATGTAGTATAAGGATGTAACGAGTCAAAAAAAATTGAACCGGTTAACCGATGGGCAAAAAACCGACCGTGACCAGTCAACCGATTCACTTTTTATTTTTAGTTGCGGAGTTATTAATCGCCGGTACTGTACGCAGGATTAAAGTTTACTTTTTAACACTGTTTAACTTGAATATAAACTATTAGACCCCAAGTCCTAAGAAGAGTTTATTTATTGCAGCTTATTTTGTTTTTCATTCAAATTTCTCGGAAGGAAACATTGCGTCGTCTAACAGTCAAAAAGGTCATGGTCTCACGTGGTCGTCACTCGCCGGGTACCAGCACATGCCGTTGTGTGACAGATCAGAAAATTATTGTTTGACCCGTTATAATTATAGGAATATTCTATGGCCCCCACCTACCTCCATCTCAATGTGCAATGTTGTAATGTAATCCATTAATAAAATATTTAATTCGGCGTCTTTATTCACGCGCACAGCATTACTTTCATTTTCATACGCATTTAATAGTCAACCTGTAGTCAAGATTACCCAGCCCGAAGATACAACGCAATAAGTCGCTCTTTTCTGGAGAGTCTTAGATCACGGTCAAAACATTATTATAACTGTAGGCTTATAGTCCATGCCATTTTCTTAAATTTATATTTATAAATATTGCCGTATTAAAAGCTAATACTATAAAATTCGTATGTTTACCACACGTGACTGAACATGTGACCCCATCGAGCCAATGAAACAAAGAAAAGATTATACCATTTGGCCACGTGCCAGAGAGACGAAAGATACTTTGTTTACGGCATAATTTTTCTTACTACGTTTTCGAGCAGCGAATACGACCGTTTTATTACCGGGAAAGTTTTGTATCAACGTGTAATATGAACATGAGAGCCTGGGCTAATACTAGTAGTTTACTACTAGTTCGATATACACTGACATTTTTATATAGAACGAATAACGGTCACGGGAATATTGAACCGGTCAGGTTGCAGAACCGAACCGTAACCGGTCAACCGAGTAACCGTTTACATCCTTAATGTAGTACTAGTAATGGCTAAAAACAATATTATTATCAATAAACCACATTATAATTGGTATGTACCATTACATATGTACATGCATCATTTAAGAACATTTGTATTGATAATTTTTCATTGATGTACATGTACATACAATGTACATATATCATATTATATACTCTTCAAAAAAAGAAGGGGATATTGAAATGCAAATAAATGTACCTATGCAGGTTGCGATATGATAAATAGTCATGGAAATTTGACAAGCTTTGAGAGTATTTGTTCAGAGATGAAGAACTTGTCGCCCCAACAGAACCACTGAGCTGCACATGCAACACGCAATAGCGCCATACACGTGGGAGGGACCGGGTTCATTGACAAATTTGACACTTCAAGGAAGGGTTGATGAAAACTGCCTCGTGCTGTTTATCTATCCATGTTTGCTTTCCTATCTTGGTGTATCTCTGCTTTAGTGTGTTACGTTTAATTTGATCGGGAGACGTGTTCGTCGACGTCAACCGACAACACTGCAAGAGGAGTGGGTCAGATTGCCCCAAATCCTGATTGGACAGTTGATTAGGAGCATGCCATGACGAATTGCTGAATGTCTGAGGATTAGTGGAGCAATTACTCATTATTAAGACAAAAATAAAAAATGTCCATTTTCACTTTTGACAGTGTATCTCTTTGCGAGTGAACTGTTTATGTTTATGTGTAGGCAATTGGCCTGTTACATGTATTAACATACACTGGTTACCTCTAATAAAAACAGCAGTGCATTTCCACAGTTTTGTATTTTCCGAATATCCCCTTCTTATTTTGAAGAGTTTATTTCACAGTACATGTATCTTGGGAAATAAAGATTTCCTAAAGGAACCAGCGGCTGCCAGGCCGGATACGTCCACATTTTTCAAGAGATGGATAGAGAATAAGCTAAACAAAAGGCAATTTTTCGTAACATCAAGGACCATAATTCAGGAAGGTACGATCAGATACATGTATGTGCGAATATCGACAGTAACCAAGATCTTTGGGTTATAAACATGCATTTCAATAGATGTTTACACTATTTGCATAGAGGGGCGGCCATTTTGTCTGGCAGTTTTCGTCGGATTTTCAAATTTTTTTTTAATTTAACCAACATTACGGTGTAATGGTGATATATTTGAACATTTTTGTAAATCAGATAATAATTGTGACCTCTAGAGGGACCACAAGCTAAAAACAGGATCAAAATTGTGACCTCTAAGAGTGTCCATAACCTTGATATACCAGATGTTTACACTATTTGCATAGAGGGATGGCCATTTTGTCTGGCAGTTTTCGTCAGATTTTCAAAAAAAAATTGAACTTAACCAACATTACGGTGTAATGGTGATATATTTGAACATTTTTGTTAATCAGATAATAATTGTGACCTTTAGAGGGACCATAAGCTAAAAACAGGATTTTTCGTACAATCAGAGGCCATAATTCAGGAAGTTACGATCCGATATGCACAAATATCAAAAGGAACCAAGATTTTTGGGTTATAAACATGCATTTCAAGTTTCATCAAAATTGTGACCTCTAGAGGTCTACAACCTTGATATACCAGATGTTTACACTATTTGCGTACGGGGCGGGTGTCATTTTGTCTGGTAGTTTTGGTTCGATTTTCAAGAAATTCGAACTCAACCAACAATACGTTTATTTTTAAATCAGATAATATTTGTGACCTGTAGAGTGTCCACAAGCTAAAAACGTGATTTTTCGTACAATCAGGGGCCATAATCCAGGAAGTAATGGTCCGATACATGCCAATATTGAAAGGAACCGAGATCTTTGGGAGATAGACTTATATTTCATGTTTTGTCAAAATCGAATAAAAATTGTGACCTGTAGAGTGTCAACAAACAAATTGTGGACGGACGGACAGAGGCGACGACAATACATGTATACATGTACATCCATATAAAAATGTGGGCTTATAAAAATTGTGACCTCTATAGGGTCCACAAGCTAAAAAGGTGATTTTTCCTAATATCAGGGGCCATAATCTATGAAGTTACGGTCCGATACATGCCAATATCGAATGGAACCCGAGATCTTTTGGAGGTAAACCTATATTCCAAGTTTCGTTGAAATTGGATAAAAATTGTGACCTTTAGAGTGTCCACAAACTATTGTGGATGGACGGATGTCAAGACAGACAGGGGCGACGGCAATATACATCCACATGAAAATGTGGGCATATAAAAACAGCTTAAATAAGTAAACAAAATGTTAGCTTATAAATTTGACAACAGTATATCAAGTGGGTTTCCTGAGGTAGTTTTGTTTCATGTCTCAACTTCCTGGTTTATGATAATTATAAATATGATATGGGTGCTTGACTTCTTCTTAACAGTTATAAGCTTATACAAGCTTACTGATCAGTACTAAATATAAACTTAAAATACAATATACATATATGTAGGTTTGCGTGTGGAGGAAGTAAATCACCACTCTACATGTACAGGTACAATACTAGTCATAACACACATTTTGATACGGTAAACTGCAAGAAGGATATCATTTCAAGGATAGTGTGTAATTGAAATAATAAGCTTATCGTGATATTAATCAACCCCACTTTATCATTCTATCTGGCAACACGTACATTTAATAATAAGATTTCATGTTGTATAATTTAATATGACTGATCATCAATTGAGTGAATTTCAACCCTCTGCAAAGTAAAATATTGTAAAACTAAAAGTTGAATTTCTAAAAGGTATGACAGCTCAAATTGGTTCAATTCCGTTCGGTATTAACAAAAAAATAATGATCAAAATGCAATATTGTCCGGTATCAGGAGTTCAAATTTTAAATAGAAATTTTCTTTGGTTTGAACGAACATGATAATAGTGATTCATAATAGCAGGATGTTCCTAGTGACACAGTAGTACATCTACTACTGGTAATACTAAACAGTCACAGGAGGATGTCCTTGTATACCGGTATATAAAATGCATAATCAGTAAGATATCTAACTTCCATGCGATATTGTCAAAAATACTAAACAGAGCTTATTCCACAGATTATATACAGTAAATGTAGCCTATATACTACCGTACAGGTAATAATATACATGTACTACTGACAGTAAACCTCTCTTAGTCTTACTATTACTTTTAAAATCTACTCTGGGAAAAACTTTGTGTAGTGTTATTGTAAAAAAACATCATTTTGTAAGCCCACGAAACTCTTCACAATTATCAAATTATTAAAATAAAACTTTATTATTTCAAAAACATTGGTCCGAGTGGTCTTCTTTGTCTTTGGCCCGAGTGGTCATGCATTTACTTGTCCAATGAAATGAACTAGGTGCTATAGTGAACAACCGATAGCAGCGGGTGCGGGTCACTTCATCACACAAGCGTTTTACCTTGGGCTGTCTCATCTCAACCTATTTTTTTAATCGGGCTGTTTATTCCCCCTTGTTATTATAATGGCAGTCAATTAACCGAGTTGTACTTCTAACTTATTGTTAAATAAACTGTTAAACACTTACTTATTGTTAAATAAACAATAATGTATGGAATAAATAAGTTTTACTGTTGATTTTTGTTGATTACCGATCACGACCGACCGCTGTATATTCGTATTGTTTGTTAATTGCCGTTATGATTTTAGGTCAGTTCACTAATTTTTTTGCAGTAAAGTATATTCGTATTGTTAGTTAATTGCCATTATGATTTTAGATTAGTTCACCGATGTTTTTGTAATAAAATAAATCATAAGTTGAAAATGAAATGGGGTTTAACGTCCTACTGTTCTGCTCCTATACTGGGCTAATGAAGAAGGGCATACGCCATACAGTGTGCTATAAGGGAAATTTTGCCCGGGCAGCAGCACTATCGCCTACTCTTATATCGAATTCCAACTGCCAAGGGATCTTTTACGTGCATTCCTATGTATACACGGGACCTCAGTTTTTCGTCTCATCCGAAGGACTAGACAGCTGTCCTTGTCAGGCCCTCCGTCCTGCATCCCTGACAAGGGGGAACCACGCCGGAAAATCTGGATGAACTTTCTCGGCCAATGCAGGGATCGAACACCCGACCTCCAGGCTAGCGAGCCAGCGTCTTACCCACTTAGCCACGTGATCCCCCGTTTGAAGATAGCTATTCCATGGTGAATAGGAAAACAAGGGAGGTAATTGGGAGGTAATTGTGTTATTATTTGCGGTGTGAAGATTTTTAAGTGTGAGAAAGATAACCTATGATCGTATAATAGTGAGTTGACAACATATTGAGCAAAAGACATAGAAATAATTATGTTTTGACTTTCTTAGAAAATATGAAATTGTAACTTTAAGATATTAAAATTGAATTTCAAATAGGCCTAATATTTTATAATTACGGTACCGAGATGACCCCTTCTGATGTCAGGCTAAGCATGGAAGTTATTGCGCAATGTAGTCGTTGTAAATATAGCCTGTCTCCTATTCCTACGATGATCTGTCCTAAAGATAAAGTATTGCCTATTACATCCCCTCTTGTAAACTGTAAAATAGTCCAAAATTTTGTAACTTGCGCATGCGCTACCGGAACTTCCACTATGTCGTAAGAAAAGTCCATCAATAATTCTTACGACGAGGCGTAAGAACAGCCACCGCGTAATAAAATATTAAAAAGTCATGTAGTTATACCCGTTCTTATAATTTGTTGGGAACGACCCGAAAATAAGTGGGCTGAATTTTAGGCTGAAACGACCCATGTAAATTTGGGATGAAACAGCCCGAGATGAACCGGTATTGGGATGAAACGATCTGCTCCCATATCACCAACACCAATATTTTCATAATAATTGGAAAATTTATATAGGTATTCTCATGCATTCCATAGATGGGCAATCATAATACCTGCATTTCTACTATACAGTACTGACTACACAAGTACATGTAACTTACTAAGATCATAAGATCATAAAGATGAACTTCAAGAATGACCATTTTTTTTAATTTTAGATATTAGCCTTTTATAGAAAAATAGTTTACGTTGTATTTGTAGACTAGCAGAATTTTCTATTTTATTTCAATTGGAAAAAGAGGCGAATTCATATGACAAACCCACTCTACCAGAATGAATCATGACATATTTTTCACACAGACGATTGTTTTGTTGACTGATGATTAGGCCGAGCAATCAGAAAATTAGTTTTCGGCAACACCCTTTTGGGCTCGCCAAACAACAATGCGTTTAGCAAAGTGTTTTACATGCAATTAAATATTGGTAACATCAGTTATATAACTTCTAACCTGTAAATTCATTAAATCTGACAGCCTTTAGAGTAAATAAATGCAACCAGGAAGGCAAAGTTGATAAGCCATACCTCAACAAAATCTACTTTTCCACAGCGCCTCCTTTAATCGTAAATTGCTAAAGGGACGTAACTACTTTGTCAAATGTTAGTCTCGGTTGTCAAAGAGAATAGTATTAATTTTTTAAATAATATAGTTTATTTGCAAATACATACATATAAGTATATGCGTATAATACAAACGGGATCAGAACAAATTGTACAATTTACGAATTTTCTCCCAGTATAATCTAAAATATTTACAATTATCACTGAAATTTAATTTAATACATAGTTATATACATATATACATGCTACCTTAGGATAATAAATAAGTCCATTTCGTTACATGCTCAATGAGTATTAACAGTGATAAACCACTGGAGAATTACAATAATAGCTACAGATTACATGTGAATCTTTTTGTTTCTTTAATGTAATTTTGTACGGTGAGAAAAATATGGATATTAAAAGATTTTGGAAACAGAGTAGAACCGTCTAAATAAATTTTATGCAACTCAGGTCGTGGCAGATGGCCTATAAAGCCAAGTTTATCAAGTAAGTGATGGCGTTGTAACACATATTTTGAGCAATCAAAGAATAGACTAGCGGCCAAGACTCCAAAAGGGGCTTAAATAACGAGATACTCCTACCCGAGGTAGAACAAAACACTTTTGATATTTTCTGATAGAGTCATATCATCAGAACCCAAAACTGGTTCTTGGGCAAATTTTCAACATGGCCCAATATATTTTTTTGCACTTTTACCAATGGTAATGGTTTCTTTAACGGTAATAGATTTGATGGGGGTAGGGATAGATTTTTGGTTCTTGCTCCATGGTGCTGAAACAGTATTGGTTGAACGGTGCATATTTTTGGTCAAAACTTCTAAATTTGCATATATGACGTCATTGTGATGTAATTGTGACGTCATTGCTATCATATTGTTATGAGAGTACCAATTAAAGAGTAATTTGTTATTTAAACATTGGAATTCTTACTTTAAAACACAGATTTTGAGTTTGAATAATCCATTGCAACTGATTAATAGACCGTAATAAAATATGGTTTATTCCATATAAAGAGTCCACCAAGAAACTTAAAATCATAGTCTTTTTGTTATTTTACGAGATTCCAATTAAATGTTCTAAATACTACCTTGATATTCAAATGAGTAAATTTAACCAACAAATCGGTTTTAAAAGATCATCATTTGATATAATGCCCTTGCAGCACCCGGCAAATATAACATTTACAGTGTCTGCATATGGAAAGCCGTTCAATAAAGCGTCGACGAAAAGCGAGGCCTGACGCATTAAGGACATGTTTTTCTCGGAGGACGGGCTCGGTCATGGGAAAGGGTTCGTCCCCGTCGGCATATATATCGCCCGGTGTGTAGCGAATTGCGGCCGACTTGAAGAGAAAGAGAGAGAGAGAGAGAGAAATTGGGTTTAACGTCCACACAAACTAGGTCATTTCGGGACTAATATACGGCTCAATTTTATTTTAATAATTGGGGTCTTTAGCAGTGGGAGGAAATCGGCGGACCCGGAGAAAATCCACGAGGTTGGACAGGCGACCCTACTCCTTGTCACATACAACCGGGGAATCGAAGCCACACCACTTGACTCAATTACAGACCATATGATGCAACGCGCTAATCATTCGGCCATCCAAGCCGCTCGAGCGACTCGGAGTGCTTCGCCTCGGCTGTAGTTAGACGAAGAGCGCGTCTCTCGAGGTGTCGCGCCTGTCTTCGGACTGTCTGCTCTGGTCGACGCTAGGTCTTTACGTGGCTCCGGGCTGTCTGCTCGGTCATGGGAAAGGGTTCGTCCCCGTCGGCATATATATCGCCCGGTGTGTAGCGAATTGCGGCCGACTTGAAGAGAAAGAGAGAGAGAGAGAGAGATTGGGTTTAACGTCCACACAAACTAGGTCATTTCGGGACTAATATACGGCTCAATTTTATTTTAATATTTCGCTTGCGCGTTGGGGTCTTTTGCCGATGGAGGAAATCGGCGGACCCGGAGAAAATCCGCGAGGTTGGACAGGCGACCCTACTCCTTGTCACATACAACCGGGGAATCGAAGCCACACCACTTGACTCAATTACAGACCATATGATGCAACGCGCTAATCATTCGGCCATCCAAGCCGCTCGAGCGACTCGGAGTGCTTCGCCTCGGCTGTAGTTAGACGAAGAGCGCGTCTCTCGAGGTGTCGCGCCTGTCTTCGGACTGTCTGCTCTGGTCGACGCTAGGTCTTTACGTGGCTCCGGGCTGAGGAACGAAACCGTCCTAGCTCCTACCGGTGTCGTGGACAAGTCGGCTTGTTAAGTTTAACAGTCCAAGTGCGGTGGCTGGGTCTTCGACGGTGGGTCGGCGGTAATTGGGGAATAATTTAGTGGTTCAACGGCTGGCCTTGGCGGCTCTTGTCCCGACTTGTCTTGAAACACGGGCTGACTATTTCTCCAAGGCTTGTTGAAATTTCATGAACAGTTGATTTTCCTTCATCGTCAGGTATCAATATTGATATTGTTGGTGGTACAGTAGTACGCCGACAGAACAATAACATCTGTATCATCGCTTCTAATTATTACACGAGAAGGGTTATCCACACTGTCAACTGTATGCAGCAAAACCCTTGTGTCCACTTCCTTGTGGTTTCTGGAACAATAGGCGTTTCTGGGCGTTCAAGCGTTTTTCATATCTCTCCAAAGCATGGTACATATTAATTCCCCCTGGTTTTGATCGAACATCTTGGTATATTACTTTTAGAGGTGGCCAGACAATTCTGTTGATAAAGAACGACAGTCATGGAATGTGTAGTAATTTTACCATTAAGAGTATCTTCAATTTGATCAAAGTTGTCAGTGGTTGAATCTCTCATTGCAGCTCCTTCGGAAGTAACTGGTAGCAAGCCTCCACGAACATAATATGCCAGGTCTTCTATATTTAATTGTTCGCATGATTGTGGCGATAGAAAGTATTTGACTTCGTCGTATGACCAAGAGCATGCAAAGTCACGGTGCATTTGGAGATAGTATGCGACTGGAACATATTAGCGGGTATCCAAAATTTCAGTACGACTTAACATATTCTTGTTGGATATCATGTTGATTGACAAGCACAAAAGTCTCCCAAGACCAAGTGGAACGAAATCTTTGCATAGTGTTAATGTAACACTGTTAGTGATAACGGAATATTAGTTTTATAAATATTAAATTTATTTACATCAGGAACAAGAATATAAAACAGGAACATCAACTAAACAGGGACTAAACTAAATCAGGGCTATAACAAAAACATTAACATGATTCATTAAGACAACCATTGCGCCCTTCTGCAACGGCAGCGGCTGAACTCGGGTGAGTCCATACACCGGTCTTCGCTCTCCTCTGCTCTTCTCCGCTTGTCTACCTTCGTATTACATTTTATTTAATCAAGAGCAATGTCACTACACCTGGAAAGTTCATAATTAAATAGGTAAATATGTATTGGACGTGTATATATGTAGTGGACAGTATGGTCTATATCGTAGATCAATAACGTGAGTTTCAAAGGGCTCGCAGATGTCAGGTTCAAATTGGTTCCGATTCTAAATAAATATTTTACATGTATAAATTATAGTCTAAATATGATACTAGTTGTTGAGAACTTTGTCATATTCAATAACAGATACCGTAACACTATTAGTAATGATAACGGAATATGAGTTTTGTAAAAATAAAATTTATTTACATCAGGAACATAAATATAAAACAGCTACATAAATTAAACAGGAATTAAACTACACCAGGAAACAATTCCATTAACACGATAAGTAGAGAATTTATAAAAACATTTTCTATTTTCATCGCTTTCTCTTAAAAATAGTTCTTTTCGAACATATATCAGTTTACAGTCTCGTATAACAATACTTCGTCTTCAGTTGAAAATTGACTGTGTGTAATTACTTATCCAGTAAGGATAACTCGTGTTTTGCGTAACTTACTGATCCTTCAAATCGTTGGTACGAATCAGCCATATCAAAGATCTATGTGTTAAAATTATCGTTGGAATGTGTAAAACGATTTTTAAGGATCGCCAGTTACTAATTCAACGTTTTTCCGAAGAATGGCAATATACAGATATAAAGAATTTCTAATACGGTTAACAGTCCAAAAATGGTTAAATACCATTCATGGTATTGCCAGACATATGATGAAGCTAAATCCCGTGCAAATGGTATATTTTACTTCTTTTGCTCGACATAATCTGCGAACAATACAGGCTTATATTTCTTGGAAGTTGTAATCGGAAGAAGGCTGATTGTTGTCAGGTGACGTCCCTGCCATCTTAACGTGTGGTTCTGTTTATAATCGGATTGAATACAAACCGGGAGAAAACGCTAGCGTTGACAATTATTTTGATTTTGTTTTCTAAATTAAATGTTAAATTATCAATTTTAGTACACATTAGCGGGGATTATGCCATGGGGAATTGGATATTTTCAGAAATATTCAAATCGCTGACCATTACTTTAAAAAAGAAATAACCTTGTAATTATTACTTTATTCAGTAGAGCATATTACGCAATAAATTTAACTCTGTATTTCAATCACAGAAGAAATATATAAAACACATGGCCTACGGACGCGCTGTGTTTGTGCAACCATATAATATAACAAATATGGGCAAGAAACTGAGTGTGACGTCATCTTGGAATTGTGGCGTCATATTTAAATCCGAAATTAGTCAATTGAGGCGCAATTGTCCAAGGAACCATCATGGCTAGTTTTATGTCAATCGTACATGAATTGACGGAGCCTTAAGCTTTTTTCGAAAAGCGCCATCTACAAGAACAACAAAGACAGGATCAGTAGCGCCAAGGGGCCAATTAATGGTCCTAAAATGATATTGCGTGTGGAATTTACGATTATTTTATTTAAATTACAGAATGTGCTGGAAAAAAACACAAAATATAGCTTATCTGATGCTTTTTAATCGTTAAATAAGTGGATTTTACGCATACAGTTGATATCGGGGATTTTTTACAGTTGCTATGGAAACCAGGAGAAATAACTATT